ATATGGTTGTGAGCTATCTTGTAGGTGCTGGGAATTGAACCTAGGTCTTCTGCAAGAGCAGTAAGTGCTCTTAACCACTGAACCAACTCTCCAGCCCTCAACAACTTATTTATGGTTTGTGTGTCCCCGTGGGTTCATGGGTTCATGTTCATCACATGTATGTACCAGGAAAGCCCATTTTGACCCATTGAAATAAGTTCCTTGATATGTCAGGTACAGTCTACTAATGAAAAAAGTAGCTTACAAAATCCAGTCTTGGGCTAGAGAGATGGCTCAGTGGGTAGAGGTGCTGGGGTAGCCTGCCAGCCTGAGTTCGGTCCCTGCCTCTCATTGATGGAGCAGACCCCTGCACGCACAACACAATCATCATCTAGTCTTTCATGATGTAGCTGCATGATTCTGAAATACTTCCTATTAAGTTGAAAACTACTGTTTGAGAATTTTTTTTTTTTTTTTTAGAGACAAATGTGTTTAATTTGGTTTATGGTTCCCTGTTGCTAGAGTTTTCCTGCCTGGCCCACAGTCAGGACAAATCTCTCTCACCCACCAGTCCCAAGCCGCTCAAACCCGATCAAGTAAACAGAGACTTATATTGGTTACAAACTGTATGGCCGTGGCAGGCTTCTTGCTAACTGTTCTTACAGCTTAAATTAATCCATTTCTATTAATCTATACCTTGCCACGTGGCTTGTGGCTTACCGGTACTTTACATCTTCCTTATCCTGATCCTGTTTGAGAATTTTAAAGTCTCTTTTAGTTTGAGTAATAGGGTTGGATGAAACAACAACAAACCCCAATTGCTGTGGTCCTGTCCCTAATTGATTGCTGATGTAAATGGCTTTAGAGTTTCTTTTTGCATTTTAAAACTCCTATTTTAATTATAATCCAGAGGATGTGCTTTTGGAACTTTTAGTTTGTGGTGAGTTTAGAATGACTATTGCCTCCAGTGGCAGTTTGTCCACATAGCAAATTGGCTACAATTTAATACCCTCCTCACTCTAATACTTCCTGGGATTGGAAAAGCAAGAGTTGTTCTTGTTGTGCTGGAGAGATGTCTCAGCAGTTAAGAGCACTGACTGCTCTTCCAGAGGTCCTGAGTTCAATTCCCAGCAACCACATGGTGGCTCACAACCATCTATAATGAGATCTGGTGCCTTCTTCTGGCCTATAAGCATATGTGCAAATAGAACATTGTATACATAATTAATAAATCTTAAAAAAAAAAAGTTGTTCTTGTTGCCTCCCGACCATTGAGCCAGGGATTGGTGCACCAGCTGCGTTTGTGCTGGTCCATGCACACAGCAGCGTGGCATATTCTCTTTGCTGTATTGACTGGCCAGAGCTCTGGGAGCCAAACACTGGCCCTGGATCGGAATGTTCACTTTTTCTCACAGTAAATTGAAAGGAGGTGACTGTTTAGATGGCAGGGAGTTTTAAGGTGGAGTGCTGCAGCTAAATGCGGCTCTCGCTGAGTGCATTCTAGGGATTGGAAGGGAACACTCAGCAGTTAGTGTGGAAGAGGGGCCCATGGACCTGAAGTGATCCTTAATGTTTGTTAGGTAAATATATATCCATTGTTTTCTGAGAGGATCCTGGGGATTCTTCTGGGCTAAGGATACACTTTATCCACAGTTAACCTATGTTCAGTCCTCCAACAAGTGATGGAATTGACTTGATTTAATCACCTTTCCTTTTCCTAGCTCTGTTGGAAAGTTATTAAAGGAACAGGAAAGTGGCCAGAAGATGCTCAGCAGGAGTGAGGCCAGTTCACACACACTGGATTATTTTAGCAAATGCAAATGCCAGTTTGTCAGTGCTCATTTAGCTTGGTAGGAATTGCTGTCTAGGTCAGTTTATAAGTGGGGCAGCAATAAAGGCATATTTAACTAACCATACCATAGTCACGTGGCCTAGAGGCAAGGGAAGGAGTCTCACTTGACTGCCAACATATCTTGAAATGTTCTCAGAGCAAATGGGCTAGAGGTCCCCCGCATATTTGTTAGGAACACCTGTTCTGTACTGCTGCTGTTCTGTTGAAAGCTCTGATCTCCTTGGTTAGAGCTGCTGTGAGGGACGAAGCTTCACTAATACTGCATTCATTCTTGGTTACTTACAGGATGGTGGGAAGGGAATCCTGGCCTGGGCTTCACAACTGTCCTCAGCTGGAGTAGTGGGGTGGATGATGGATGGTAAGGGCTGCAGAAGTCTTCATCCTCAGGTGGATGAGCCTTGTGGTTGGTTGAATGGTTTTTGTTGTTGTTTGAGACAGGGTTTCTCCGTGTATCTCTGACTATCCTCACTCTGTAGACCAGGCTGGCCTTAAACTCAGAGATAGACCACCTGGCGGTTGCTTGAATGTTAATTGTATAAGTTGAATCCCATTGCACTGAACTCTAGGGATTGGTTACACTATTTTGTTGTACTAGAGTAAGGCTTTATCAAGTATTGGTCCTTTTGTTTTGCTAGAAGTATAATAAGATCTTGAAAATTTTCTGTTTATTGTACCAGTTTGACAAGTTGTTACTCATGAACCTTCCATTTTTAATGTTTTTGGACAAAGGGCAAAGAACCCCTCTGGGGAGATAGATAATTAACCACCTGTTTTGAGTTTCTTCTTTGGGCTAGCTCAGCAATCTAGTAAGATTTTTACTGAGTGTTCCACATTTAAAATGTGATCTGAGGAAGTGAGACTCTAGGTTGTCAGGTGATTCTGGTGATCTATTCTGTTAAGATATGTAAATGTACTTCATTCTGGTGTAAAATGTCTTTGAAAGACACATCTTGGTCCTTTTCATAGATTGAGTGAGACACTTAGGTTTCAATAGAGTAGGTTCCACCTACTTTTTAAATGATGATTATATTTCATTCTTTAATGGTGGCAATTTTGAATAAATTTAGGATTTTTCAGAAACAGGTTTTCTTTATCCATGAGAAAAAGTCAATCCTGTGCATAGTCAGAAGTACACATTCCCTCTAGTTACATACATTTTGACTGTCTTTTTACCAAACTTAAGCCATTTGTACCTTAGCTCACCATACCCAAAGCTAGCCACATTCAGTTTGCTTGGAGTTTTGATTGGTGCAGCAAGACATTTTTGAAGCCATTCTTTTCAGTAGATGGTCCATGAAGGAGGCGAATCTGAAAGAGGGAATTTCAAAGCAACCCAAGCAGTGTTTGCAAGTGCTCTGGTCTTGAGAATAATGCCTGGCGGGCAGGCAGGAAGCCTGCAGCTGTGGTGTACCATTGTTCCTCCCTCTCTGGCATCTGAGACCTTCAGTACAATAGAGGAGAAAGCCTGGGGAGGGAGAGAAAGGCCTCACTAGGGAAAGGGGTGCTTTCAGGGTGAATACTCTGTTTCACTGAAATCCAAGACGAAATTATTTTACTTAAGAGCAATTGTTTCTCATAATCTGTCCCAAACTGACATTTTTATAATGAAAGTTAACTGCTATTGGAAGAGCAGCAGGATCCTTTACTGTTTCAAAACAACTGAAAGAAAGGATACATGTCAAAAGCCTGGAAGTGTTTTCCCCTCTTCTGCCGTCTGGGCAGGATTGCTTGTTACTTTGAGGAGAGTTCTGGTGTCGGAGAGTTCAATACTTTGTAAGCTTTGGGCATGTCTTGCTGTAGGGCTGTTTTTATTTTTGCTTGAGATCTGGTCTTCTGTGTAGAAGACACAGCTTGGAATTCAAATCCTGTACCCGAGCCTCCCCTATGACATGGCATAGGAGGACACCCTGCTAGGCTCTCTGGTTTGTTTGTTTTTTTTTTTTTTGGTTTTTTCGAGACAAGGTTTCCCTGTGTAGCTTTGCGCCTTTCCTGGAACTCACTTGGTAGCCCAGGCTGGCCTCGAACTCACAGAGATCCGCCTGGCTCTGCCTCCCGAGTGCTGGGATTAAAGGCGTGCGCCACCACCGCCCGGCATTTGTTTTGTTTTTTAATATTTGAGACAGGGTCTTGCTAAGGCCTGGCACTTGCTATATAGATCTTGTGATCCTCCTGCCTCTGGCCCAGAAATGCAGGGATTCCATGTGCACACCACCAGCTTCTTTCAGCTTCAGTGCTTCCTGTCAGAGCATGGTAAGCATAGCCACAGCTTTTGGTGCTGACGAATTATGAAGATTTCCTAACAAGCTGTGGACTTTAATGGTGTGTGCTGTCCAGTGGGGGAGATGGGGATGTGAATGGAGACAGGTTGTAACACCCGAGACAATTACTGAATTAAAGTTGCCCCCTGAAGCAGCCTAGGTACTTGATTCTGCTTCCTGGTTAAAATTAGCAATTTGATTTGGAAATGTTTAAGAGTCTAGCTAGTAGTATTTTCTGAATTGTGTCTTTACACGTCTTCTTCTGTTCTAAGTTCATTTCTCTTCTTTTTTAAGTCTTTGAGTTTCATATCATGCACTCCAATTCCCCTCATCTCCCTATCCCTCCTTATCTGCCCTCCACCCTTGCAACTTCCCCCCAAAAGAAAACAAAAATAAAAATACAAAATAAAGAAGACAAACAAACAAACCATCTCGAAGCTGTAGTGTCATGGTGTGTTGCCCAGGCTACTCTTTTGCTCAAACAGCTTGCAAATGTTCATTGTTGTTCACTGTAATGAGTCATTGTCCCCCGTAAGAGTTTCTCTTTTTTTCTTTCTAGAGATTTCTCTGGCCTCAAACTCAGAGTTCTGCAGGTCTCTGCCTTCAGAGTGCTGGGATTAAAGGCGTGTACCACCATCTGGCTTTTTTTTTTTTTTGGTGATAGGATCTCTGGTAGCCAAGTCTGGATTCTGTTGTGTGTAGCAGAGAACGACCTTGACCCCTGATCCTCCTGTCTCCACTTCGCAGTGCTGGGTTTATAAGCAGGGCCACTGCTAGTGTCTCGTCTCTTTACTTGACTAGTGGTTGTTCATTCTTTCTCTCTCTCTCTCTCTTTCCTTCTTTCTCTCTCCCTCCCTCCCTCCCTTCCTTTCTCCCTCCTTTTTTTTTTTCTTTTGATATGATCTATGTAGCCCTGGAACTCTAGATCAGACTGGTCCTGATCTGCCTGCCTGTGCCACCACACCCTGCCGGTGGTGTGTTTTAATGACACAGCTCTTGTCAAGTTTCCCCTGCTGTTGGAACCTGAGTCTGATAGCATCTAGGTAAGTCTACTTCCACTAGAGAGGACAACAGCTACCTACATCTTGCCTACGTTGGAGGGTCAGTGTTGTTCTCTTCCTATGACAGGGCCAGAATATCAGTGTTAAGTTGACAAACCCATTTCATTAGAAATTGCTAAGATGGAACTTAGGGTCTGTGTACTTAGAGACTTTGCCATTGTAGATGTGACTGTAAAGTTGGGAAGTAGCTTCCTAGGTCTGGTGTGGTAGGTGTTCCATACCTGTAAACCTTGTACTGAGAGGTTGAGGCAGGAGGATTATCAAAATTTGAGGCCAGCATAGGCAGTAGATTAAAATTCTGTCTTGACAAACAGAAAAAAAAAATAACATAAAACAAATCTAACAAAAAAGTAACCCTCCAAGACAAAAGGAAACTTACTGAGTGCCTGTGACCCGAGTAGCGGAGGCTAAGGCCCAGGGCAGGAGAGTGCCTGCTTCTTAGGACCTGAGGAGTCTCAGCACCTGCTCCTGGTGCTGACAACTACCTGTAACTCCAGCCCCAAGGCATCTTCTGTGCATCTTTTTACTCTCTCTACTCTTTCTTTATGAATACTCACCTACGTGAACATACACAGACACATACACATTAAGAAAAAAAGTTAGGCTGGGTGGTGGTGGCGGCGGCGGCGCACGCCTTTAATTCCAGCACTCTGGAGGCAGAGACTGGTGGATCTCTGAGTTCAAGGCCAGCCTGGGCTACAGAGTGAGTTTCAGGATAGGCTCTAAAGCTACACAGAGAAACCCTGTCTTGAAAAAACAGGGGGGAAGAAAAAACAAGTTAGATACAATAAACAAGCAAACAGAAAAGACAGAGGCAGGAGGCTCTTTATTTAGTTCAAGGCCAGCCTGGGATTCTGTTAATTCAGATCCTGTTTGAGGGCCTGGCGAGGTGGTTCAGTGCACTTGATGCTAGCTGCCGAGCCTGATGATCCACGGGTTAGAATGGAGGACTGACGTCAGCAAGCTATCCTTTGACCTCTGCTTACCTGCAGTGGTGTCCATCTGTCTTTCTCAAATAAGGAAAGAAAAGACCCTGCTTGGAACAAAACTAAACTAGGTACAGCTTAGTGTCGGTATACTTGCCTATCTCAAGGTCTTGAGTTTGATCCCTAACACTCCTACCCTACCACCAAATTAAAAAAGGTCTCCACTTTATAGATACAGTTTCAAGTAGTCTCAGTTAAAAAAATTTAGCAGTATATTTACCTGCATGTATGCACACCATGTACATGCCTGGTGCCCACAGAGGCCAGAAGAGAGCATCAGATTACCTGGAACTGGAGTTAAAAACAATTGTGAGCTGCCACATAGGTTCTGGGACTGAACCTGGGGCCTAGCAGCCAGTGTTCTTAACAGCTGAGTAGCTCTCCAGCCCAGTTTATTGGCGTCTATGGCCTGTATTATAAAATAATTTTTTTAAGGTCTATAATTCTTAATGTTATGGGAGATTAGATTAATTTATCATTTTTAAATTTTATGCACACATTCATATGCATGTGATATTTTGAGACAGTCTTTCTGTAGAATAGCCCTGGCTGCCGTGGAACTTGTCATGTAGACCAAACTGACCTTGAACTGGATGGAGACCCCCATGCTTCAGATCCTGTGTGTACTAACGTGCCTGACCCTATGTAGATCTCCTTTTAGGCATACTTCTGTGTTTGTTCTTTCTGTATATGTCTTCATCTCAGCCCTGCACAGTCGAAATTAGTCATGTCCTGAAATCAGAAAGTCTAAACCTTCCAACTGTATTCTTTCAATGTACTGTTTTTTTTTTCCTTTGATTGTTTGCATTCAGTTCATATAATTTTTAGAATGGGATTGGGATACAGCTCAGTTAGTAGGGTGTTTGCCTAGCATACCTGAGTTCAGTCCCCAGTACCAAACAGATTATAGTGGCACTGTAATTCTAGTGTTTGGGAGGTGGGGGCAAGAGGATCAGAAATTCAAGGTCATCCTTGGATACATAGTTTTAGGATAGCCTGGGCTACACAGATTCCTATTTTACAGACAAAGGTATGTGGGATACTGTGCCTTCCCTTCTATGAACTTTATTTGTGTGTATAATAGCACAGTTAATCATTTAATGCCTATGGTGCTGAGAATTGAACACAGAACCTCAGACCATACCAGACAATTACTCTACTATTGAGTTGCACTCCAGTTTCCAAGTTCCTTTTTTAAATTCTTTTTTTTTTTTTTTTTTTGAGACAGGGTCTCAATATGTTCAATATGTAGAACTGATTGACCTGGAAGGCCAGGCTGGTCTTGAACTTTTTTTTTTTTTTTTTTGTTTTTTGAGACAGGGTTTCTCTGTGTAGCCCTGACTGTCCTGGAACTCTGTAGACCAGGCTGCCCTTGAACTCAGAGATCCCTCCCCCACCCTCTATCTCCCCAGTGCTGGGATTAAAGATTTCTATCACCCTTACCTGTTTTTTCCCCATTCATATTTTTTTCAATTAAAAAGGTTTTTTATTCATTTTACATATCAACCATAGATCTCCCTCTCATCCTTCTCTCGCTCCTCCCCAGCCTCCTTTCCCACTTTCCATCCCCTCCTCCAAAAGGGTAAGGCCTCGTACGGGGAGTCAGCCTGGCACATTCAGTTGAGGGAGGACCAAGTCCCTCCCCTCTGCATCAAGGCTGAGCAAGGCATCCCACCATAGGTAATGGGCTCCAGAAAGCCTGCTCATGCACCAGGGATATATCCTGTACTCATTGCCAGGGGCCCTTCAAACAGACCAAGCTACACAACTACTCCCGTATCCAGAGCTGTTTGTCTAATGTTCGTGAGTTCCTGTGAGCTTAGTTCAGTTGTCTCTGTAGATTTCCCCATCATGATCTTGACTCCCATTGGTTGCTTATATAATCCCCCTTGCCTCTCTTCGACTGGACTCCCAGAGCTTGGCCTGGTGCTTGCTTGGCTGTGGATCGCTACATCTCCTTCCATCAGTTACTGGATGAAGGCTCTGTTTCCAATCGGTGCAACGTGGGCATATGGCTCCGGTGGTCACTGGTGCCGCTGCGGCTGGTTGGCTTGGTCTGTTCTTTATTTTTAAAAATGTAATTATAAGCAACTGCTAGGTGGTGATGAAAACCTGTGTCTCAACTGTTAGAGGCAGGAGGACCAAGGAGTTCAAGGTTATCCATGCCTGTAGAGCAAGTTTGAGACCAACCCAGGCTATGTGAGACTTTCTATCTCACAATACCCTCCCCCAAACTAAACCCAAACAGACAACAAAAAGTGATTACAAATAGTATTGTTTTGTCCGTCCGTCCGTCCATCCATCCATCCATCCATCTATCCATCCATCCATCCATCCATCTATCCTAAGATAAAGTAGCCCTGGAACACTGTATCGTCTAGGTTGGCCTGGAAATGGAGGTGCTCTTGTCTTAATCTCCTGACTGCTGTATTATAGGTATGAGTCACCATCTCGTGTCTTAGTTAGGGTTTCTAGTGCTGTGAAGAGATACCATGACCACAGCAACTTTTAGAAAGAAAACATTTAATTGGGTGGCTCGCTTACAGTTTCAGAGGTTCAGTCCATTATCATCACGTGGGGAGCATGGCGGCATACAGGTAGATGTGGTGCTGGATGGGTAGCTGAGAGTCCTACATCTTGCAGGCAACAAGAAGTGAACTGAGACACTGGGTGGTATCCACACCTGGCCTATCTAATAAAACTCCAGTTTCAAGTAACTTGTTGCTAATGTATAGAAATGCAATAGTTTGTGTGTGTGTGTGTGTGTATTTATCAAATACTTCATGATCCTATTAAACTCATTCATCCTGGTTGCTTTTACCTAGTTTATGATTGTATACTATATCTTGTCATTTCTCATCAGCCCTCCCAACCCCAAGTGAGATTTCAGATTGGGCTAGAACTGTGTAACTAAACTGCATTTGAATTCCAGATCCCCCTGCTTTGGTCTACAAGTGCTTGGATTACAGGTGTGCTCCCTGACTGATTGCTTTGCTCACTACAGCTTTGCCCCTTCAGAATGTCTCTCTTTGTGGTGGGGGTGCTGGTGGGAATTGAACACAGGACGCTATGCAGGCAAGTGCTTGGCCTCCAAGTAGCATACTTAGCCTGAGTTGTGTGTGTCAGTCTACCTAGGTTAGCCCAGCTCTGTGAGATTCATACTGTTGCATAGACCAGTTCTATCTGTTGCCTATTTACCATTCAAGCACCATTTTATTGTATCCACCTATCATGAATTAGTGCTACTGTAACCATTTGAATACAAGTTTGAGTGGGCTTCATTTTTTTGGGAGGTAGGATTATTGATCTTATGGCAAATGTATGTTTAGCTATTTAAGAAACTATGTAACTGTTTACAGAAGTGGCTATGCCATTGTATAGCCTGTTCCATCGCACATCCTCACCAGCACTTGATATTAATATTTGTTTAAGCCGTAGCCATTCTGGTGAATGTGTAGTTAGAATCTCATTGCAGTTGGAATTTAGAATTCCTTTTACCTTCAAGTGAAATGTCTGTTTAAATTTTTGTTTCTTTTCCTTCTTCCTCCACTCTTCCTTCTCTTTGTCTTTGTATATGTGTGAACACACACCTACACACACCCACACACACCCACACACACCACACACCCCACACATGTACATATAGGCAGTGGCACATGCTTGTGCATGTGTATGGAGGCCAGAGTTTAACCTTGGGTGTTGTTCCTTGGGAACCATCCATCTGGTTTATTCATTTATTTTTTACGTGTGTGGGTGTTTTGCCCATGTGTGTCTGTGCACCATGTGTGTGCGGTGCCAGCAGAGGCTAGAAGAAACCAGGGCAGATTTCCTGGAACTGGAGTTACATAGTTGTGAGATACCAAGTGGGTGCCGGGAAACAACCCAGGTCCTCTGTAAGAACAACAGATGCTCTTAACCCCTGAGCCACCTATCCAGCCCCCATTCCTTACTATTTTATTATTGCCAGATAACTTTCAGACCTATCTGTATTTTCTG